AGGCAGTATCACTACAGAAGTAGATTGCCCCATCTTCCTTCCGAGGAGTGGCTGGTGAGTTTGAACCGCCAGCCTTCTGGTTAGCAGTCAAGTGCCTTAGCTACTATGCTTAATGGGAGTAGGCATCAAAAATAAGAATAAAGCACAAAATATTTGCAACCACTAGGCATCCAAAGGCCATGAAAGAAGAATATGAAAAATTAGATTATGCCAAAATGACTTACTTGATCCCCATAAGCATGGCGACCTATGATGATAGGTTTTACCCATCCACTCACAAGCCGCGGGATATTTTTGCAGATGATAGCTTCCCTGAAGACAGTGCCACCCAGAATATTTCGGATGGTGCCATTTGGTGATTTCCACATTTGTTTCAACTTGAACTCCTCAACCCTCTTCTCATCAGGGGTGATAGTAGCACACTTGACACCAACGTTGTATTTCTTTATAGCTTCTGCAGCATCCTTGGTGACCTGGTCGTTGGTGGCATCACGATTCTCTATGCCTAAATCATAGCTTGGGAGGGAAAAATTAGAACTCTTCAGACAGACTAATCAGTTATTGATAGTATTATCAATAATCATAGTGGTAGTATATAGAGTTTGAGCTGCAGAAACTGAAGGCTCCAAACGCACCTAAATTTGCTAAGCTTTAGTATGCCTGCTGTCAAGTTGGCCCCCAACCCATTGCAACCCAATGAAAGAATGAAGGAATGAAACACATCCCGTGCTATGCCAGCTCCATGATTGGTTGGAGATTGGATCATTATGACGTACATAGGGCTTTCACTGGCTGATTTTCAAAAGCAGATTACTGGGACTTTCTTCCTAGTCCATATTAATCTGGAACCTGTTCAGTATCATAGCAATGCACAAGTTTCCACTGACAGAGGGGTGGTGACTGGTGTGAGGTGCATTGGCTAGAACTGAACCTAGGAAATCCAACCTAGGCCTCCAGGATGGAAGGTGAGAATTCTACCATCAAACCACCAACGGCCTCAAATTTAGCATGAGAGCCCTAAACAAAAAAGATAGCTACTGTGGTAGTTACTTTTGTGTGTCAACTTGGCTGGGCCTGGTTGAGTAGCTGGGCAGCTGGATGTAGTATTCCCCATGATGAGACTGGTAATCAACTTCATGGTGGAATCTACTGTGAGCAGCTGAGTAGCTGCTTTAGGGATGTGGTCTGCTTCCTTTATCTAAGGAGAAGTCTTGGGGAATGGTCTCTAGTTTATGGCACGCTTGAACCCTGCATGTAGCTGTGTCGTTGTTCAGCAGCCTGCCATGCTTTGCTGACCTTGGGAATTTTAATGGACTTGAATTAATAGCCTGCTGTGTGGTTTGGTAACATCGGGACTGTGCCTTTTTACTTGGCAACCTTGGGCTTGTCAGTCTCAGCAGCCAGCAGCTGTTTGAGTGAAGAAAAGCCTCTAGCTCCAGTGGGCCGGGAGGAGGAGGCAAAGCTGAAGCCCAAGGTTGAGGGGCTTTCATCCAGTCCCTAGAAAGTGGCACTTTGAACTCAGACTTAAAGCCTCCAAATCGTAAGAGAATAAATTCCTGTTTGTTAAGGCCATCTCATTTGTGGTATATATTCCTGTCAGAGCGGCACTAGGTAACCAGAACAGATGCCAACTGAAAGAGCACTCTGAGATGCTGGAATGCCTGGCTACAGCTCCCTGTGTTGTAATGGGACACTGTCTTGGAGGAATCTGAATGCAAACCATTGTACTGTGCCGCTTTGCCTACTTTTTATAATACTGAGACAATAACAACATACCTGCAACCCTTTTGTTTGGCTCCCCTCCCTGTAATTCACACAGAAATAAGCTTAAGCACCACCTTATTTTTCACTCAGTAGGAAAAAAGGTGGGGTTGTCTTAAAGGATTTTTTTTTTTTTAAATTTGGCATTAACATGGCAGGATTGCAGATCTGACAGTCAGTGGCAACAATGCTGACTCCTTCATTTATGCTGGCTAGTCATAGGATGAACTTTTCCCTAATTCCTGAGCATGTTTCTCTGTTTTGAAAACAAGTCTGCAGCTTCTTGGATCAGTAATGGAATCCACCACTGCTTTCGTATATACTGGAATTCTAGTTTAACACCCACCGACACTCTGTCTACAAGTCAGGCTGAGCTGCACAATGGTGGCTGTTCAGAACATAGAAAATTATCCTAAAGCATCACTGAAAGTATGTAATAGTTTGTCAGAAGCAGGAAAACAAAATAATAATGTAACAATTTATTTTGCTTTAAAACTTGCTGAACTATAACAGAGACTGGTAGAACCCCTAGACTGTGGCCCTTAGACACCCTTCAAGCCTGGAACGGAACTCACTCCCGGGAATCAACTTTCAGCCAAACAGACTATAAAGTGACATATACTAGGGAGGAATGTACTCCTCAGTACAATCAACACTATGAGACTGAAAAATCAGCCTTTGCTCAAAAACAAATGGCAGCAAGGGGCAGGAAAGAAGGAAAATGGAAATGCAGAACCTTAGGCGCTCTGGTAGCATAGTGCCTAAGGCACTTGACTGCTAACCAGAAGGCTGTGGTTCAAACTCACCAGCCACTCCTTGGAAGGAAGGTTGGGCAATCTATTTCCGTAATGATACCACCTCGGAAACCCAAGGAGGGGTAGCAATGAGTTGGGCCTACTAGAGGGCACATAACAGCAACAACAGGGAGGAAGTGGGAAGACTGCTGTTATATGAGGGGATGGCAACCAATATCATGAGACAGAACGTGTATAAATTGTTGAACAGAATTTGCTCTGTAAACTTTTATCTCCACTACAATAAAAATGTCAAACAAAACCTCACAGAATCATTAAGTCTCTAGATTTCTTTGTAATTCCTGTACAGTCCTTTCCTTAGATACGCCAACTCATGATACCAACATACAGATTGAAATCTTGACATATCAGCAAATAAAATTGCTTTAACATTAGGTAATTCATGTAACAATAATGTTGTTGTTGTTGTTGTTTGCCGTCGAGTCGGCCCCAACTCATAGCGACCCTTCCTTAGGTTTCCGAGGCAGTATCACTACGGAAGTAGGATTGCCCAACCTGCCTTCCGAGGAGTGGCTGGTGGGTTTGAACCGCCAGCCTTCTGGTGAGCAGTCAAGTGCCTTAGGCACTATGCTACCAGAGCTCTTATTCTTTCTAGGAGAAAAGAATATATATATGGCTTGGACTACTATCTAGCGCACACAACAAAACTAATAGTTCCACTCCTCTCAGACAGAACTGATCATATCATGATAAGAGCAATTGTGGAACAACTTAAAACTTGTTTGGCCCCTTAAACATTCTTCACTGGGCATGTAATAGCTTTTTCCTTCTGTAGGTACCAACTACCCTTTAATACTCCTTATGCCTCAAGGCTAAAGAAGCTCAATGCAACAACTCTGCAGCCTATACATCCAAGTTCTCTCCATCGGCTGTTTAAATTTCTGAAATAGGACAGAATTTTAAATGCTTCTTAATTCGTTTCAGATCTTCTCATGCTTCATTTTCTAGGTGTATGGTCCACCTCTGCAAGCAGTTGCTCCATCTCATGGTTACAATATAGACATTAGCAGTTTGAGAACAATTGAGAAGGGGGTCTAGTAACTCCATTCCAATTAATGTCTATACCCATGCAAATAACGGGTCCTCAGAACACATTCTGATGAGTAATTCTGGGTTGAGGCAAATGCACCGTTGCCAATAGTTTGTCTGATAAATGCATTACTCAACATTTTACCAGGTCAGTCTTCAGCTACTTCACCCTTGTAGAAAATCTGCATCTACCTAGTGCAAAGGTACAAAGAACATGAGCAAGTTTATGAAAAACACAGGGCAAAAAAAATGAGAGAACTATGTATCAACTTTCACATCTGTCTCTGAACTTTTTAAACACAGGACAAAAGGCCTAAACTTTTAGGACAGAAATGGTTTGAAGCAAAGTTGTGAAGGTTTTAGGTTGGATTTATTAACTTGGTGGGTTCATTATATTCTACAATTGTATGAAAAAGGAAAAAGGCAAGGAATGCAAAAGAAAAAAAGGTCCATTGACTAGTTAAGGAGACTGACAGAAAATGGAGCTTCAAAGACAAAATTGTGTCAACTACAGTTAATTTACTATTTCTTGCATCCTCAACACACTGCACATTGTGCATCTCTCTTAGCTACGGGTGGCCACTTATTTTGTTGTTGTTGTTATGTGCTGTTGAGTCGGCCCCAACTCATAGCGACCCCTCCTTGGGTTTCCGAGGCAGTATCACTACGGAAGTAGGATTGCCCAACCTTCCTTCCAAGGAGTGGCTGGTGGGTTTGAACCGCCAGCCTTCTACTTATTTTATTACAAATAAAATCTTCATGAGAATCAGAGGCTTGGAAAAACCTGAAAATCACTTTGATTCCCTCCCAATGCTTGACTTCTGAATAATGGTAAGTTCATTTTTCTAACAGTTTGTTAAATAAAAATAGACGATTCAACTGCAAAAATTTAGGCAAAAAAAAAAAAAAAGCTTTATCAGCAAGCTGCAGCTGTATCTTGTAGATAAGCTAACCGTATCCTGAAATCCCTTAAGTGATGCCTTCTGAGTTTGCCACCAGGAAGAGTCATTCACTTACCTATGTAGGTCCAACTCCACGTAGGGGAAAATGAGTTTTTCTTTAATTAGTTCCCAAATGATTCGAGTCATCTCATCTCCTTGCATCTCCACTACAGAACCACCTTGGATTTTTTGGGACATCTTGTCTTCTTCAGTAGACCTTTAAAATGAAATAAAGGTTAAATGCGTGTGTTCTCATTCATGATTTCATTATAAAGTGGAAACAAAACATAATTTGATAACTACTGAAAAAACAGTTCCTAAGATCATGATTGCACAAAAGACTAATAAAAACACATTTACCAGGAGAATTGGGCACCTTCTCTGTGCAAGGTACTATGTTACAACTTCACGGGTGGTTTCCAGGTCAGCCCTCATAGCAATGCTGCAAAATGGAAACTCTTTTCCCTTTATACTTACATGGGTAAAAGAATGATCTTGCCAAGGCTACCCCCTTGAAGCGTGGAGGAGTCTGATCTTGTAACATGCTCTTTATTAATTTGTATTATTCTATCATTAACTTCTATTGAGATTATTTCCACAGCATTGTGTTTACCTTCTCATTTTACTGGACCCTCAAGATGACCAGAATGGTGAGGGCTAGGATCTTGGCTTTATTTGAAACTCTTTTCATTAAAATAGGAGCTCTGGTGGTATAGTGCCTAAGGCATCTGACTGCTAACCAGGTGGTTGGTGGTTCAAACCCATCAGCTGCTCTGTGGAAGGAAGACTGGGCAAACTACTTTCATAAAGGTTTACTGCCTTGGAAATCCAAAGGGGTCGCTGTGAGTCGACTTGGCAGTGAGTTTGGTTTGGTTTGATTTTTTCATTAAAATAACTACCCTGGAGGAGATTCTACCGGTTCTTGTTACTCTTGCTCAAGAACACTTTAAGCCTAAAAATGAAAGAGTAATTCCTGGGGGAGCTGTTTTCTTAGAGACAACAATAGACATTAGGCTTGTGAAATTAAATACAAAAGTGATTTCTCCATTACAGAGCCCTGTATCTAGAAGAACCACTGCCCAAGACCCAAGCAGGTCCCTCTCCCATTCCTCAGAACCCCAACTCCTCAACTGTCGCTTTAGCTGTTCACGGGCAAGGGTAGGCTGCTGGTGGAGGACAGAAGGAATCAGAATTGTTCCAAGAAGAGAAGCCACCTTGAGAAATGGCTGTGAATACAAATCAAATAATCTGATTCCTGGAAAGGACATGCGTGGAACATTTGGAAGAATGAAACCGGGAGGCTCAGAGAAAGACATCCGGAGAGGCAGAGGAGGCCTGAGCCTGCTAAGGCATCTGTTCCTTCCCATGATGCTCTGAAAGAAACTCCCCGCCACCCAGCAACTCAAATACAAAGTGCTTTTATCGCCCTATGTTATAGCTGAGGAATGGAAAAGTCAGGAAAACTGACTTTAAAAAAATAATTGGTTAAGAGGCCTGTAAAAAAAAATTATTAGGTTAAGAGGCTTGTAAATAGTTTTTCTTGAAAAATTGGGCTAAAGTAGTTTGGTCTTTAAATAAAAAAGGTAATGCTTAGTGGACAGTGAGCCTTGGTTCCCTAAAACAAGGCAAAATGTAGTCCCACCCCCGAGGCCCACTTTCATTTCCCAAATTTGCAGAACTAGAATCCTACCTACTAGTGTTTAGGAGGTTCCTTAGACTACTACTGGCGAACCATCTGGAACTCAACTTGAATAAAAGAAATGAAGGAAGTCATGTAGGGAAGTCGGAGGCAGACAACTGCATGAAGGACATATAGACAAATGGGAGGGGAAGGAAATGGGGATAACAAAGGCCCAGCCGCTACTGGAAAGCTAGACTTCTTAGACTCCTGGAGATGCTCGTGTATTAAAAGACAAAACACAACAACGCAGCAACCCCAGATGTGTTCCACAGGTTTGCAGCGGCTGCCTTTCGGGGGAAGAAGATCACCAGGCCTCTGTTCCAAGGTGCCTCTGGCTGGATCTGCACTGCCAATCTTTTAGGTAGCAAACAAGTGCTTAACTGTACGTCTGGGGGGACACAGTACCGATCCCAGTTTTCCACACACAGAGAGAGTACTCTAAAGGTTAATTCTCACTTGTAATGTCATTTGTTTCTTATAGAGTTTCTTGTTTCTTAAAGCATATGATTGTTTTGCTTGATTCCACTTTCACATCTTCCTTGTATTTTAAACAAAACAAAACAAAGTAAGCAAACTTAACTTTGGCCTCGATACTACATTTACATGGCCATTGTCCTTTATGACTTGTCTATTTTTCCTCAAGACAAGAATGCTGGGACTTTTTATTTCCTTCTCAGGTAAAGCAAACATTTTCTGTAGGGCTTTTTCTGAATCTCGTAATGTACAACTGAAACACTTCACATGATTTTTCCATTAAATCTTTGCCACCTTTTTAGCTAAAAAGGTGAAGCTTTATTGTAGACTCTGGCTTAGGATAATGGATAGCATTATACTATTTCGTCCGTCAGTGCCACGGGATGGGCTTTAGGCCTCACTGGATTCACTTTTCCCCTTTGTCCCTCCTCAGATTTCCATTCTCCACCCCAACCCTGACTTCAGAAGGAAGGACTTTTCCAAGCCCAACAGGCACCAGTTCATTTAGTCTGAAAGCAGCTGAATTCCAATCTCCTGACACACTTGTGTAATTTCAGAAAATAAACCTGGAATAATACAAAGCAGTTTAAGAATTTAGAGTTACTCACCCTACTTAATTTTACTTTCATCATCTCCCAGTTTTTAGCCAGATTTTTTTTTCTTTTAAAAAGGTGAGTTCATGAACTACAATAATTTCTAGGCATTAGTCTCTTGCAGAAAAAACACCAAGAGCAACACGGAAGCAGTAGCAAAATTCCTGACTCACTCCTTGCAGTAACCAGCCCCCGCGACAGGACCAGTAAAACACCTGCCAGGACCAGTAAAACGCCTCCTATGGTAACTTGCATTCTCACCTCTACAACGAATCAACTTGTAATCACCCCAATGCCTTTCGATCTTGTAAGACTCAGCAGAAAGCAGTTTAATTCCTAAAACAAAGACTAGGAATAGAAAGTCCCATTAAAAAAACCCACCACTTTCACAAGGTTTGGTTAGTAGTTTTAAATACTGGCCACACAGCCCGGTTTATCTGGTTTTAAGTACAGTGCCAAGCGTATCCGAGGGGCAAAGGGCAGCTGTAGGTCTGCAAGCACCGTTCAAAAAAAGGTCAAAGGAGCACGAATAAGTCTGTGCATACAGTGGAGGGTGCGTCTGTGGGCGTGTCCCCGGGTCATCTTCCGTTAGTGGGTCTCTGGGTTTGGACGTCCTTGGGCGACGCAGTGACTAGTAGGCTCTTGGCCTGCAGACGTGCTAGAGGGATGTTGTGCAAGAGGGCTGTAATGGAAGCTGGCTTGCTTCCTCCTTTCAGGTTTCCATGCCTGGCCCCTCACTCTCCGCCTCGGGGACCTTTAAACTTCTGGAGCAAGGGGCGGGCTGGGGGGCCTCTCCCATACATAACTCAAGATGCTGGCGGTGGCGGGTGTGTCCTCCCACACGTCACTCCGCCACCGACCGCGACTGGGTGGCCCAGCCAAGACCCTTCTGACAAGTATCTGGGAGCTCCGCCCCCTTCACGCCCCACAGGCAGCCGAGTTCAGCCGGGTGGTCTGCGTTTGAGGTCCACGCCCAAGTCCTAGGCTTCCACACTTCTTTGCATGCAGCTACCCACCCCCCACATATGCTTTCTTCCTCTCACACCGGAGAGTGAGTCTCTATGGGTCCTTTCAATCTCCCACCACTAGATTTTCCTCCTTGCATGCAGAACTAGTCTCGCATTTCTCTGCATGCAACTTCCCCGTCGCCTGATTTCTCCTTCCCAAGCCCAAGCATTTGGCACTCTCTTCCGCCCCGTTTCCCTCTCCTACGCCCAATGCCTGAATTTCTTCCCTTCCCTGCATACAGGCCTCGACGCTAAGTCCCTTCCTCCACGCTCAAGATCTAAGCTTTCCTCATTTTTCCCACTCCCGCGGAATCAATCAGAGCCTCGCCCAACAGCCAGGGGCCGAGGCAGCCCCTCCGAGCCTGCTCTTACCTGCAGGGGAAAATGCACCCGCGAGTAGCCGGGGGCGCTGCAGTCACTCACACGCTCAAACTCACGCGCACACTGCCACGCACACTGGCAACCTCAGCTGTCTCGGCTTCTGACACTGGCTCTGCAGAAACCCTGGGCTCCGCAGGCGGGGCAGGGATTTTCCTTCTCCCGGCCTTTGTCCCCTCCCAAGCCCTGCCCCGTCAGCCCACCTCCTGGAGCCACGCCCCCGCCGTGCGGCCTTTTGCCTCCACCAATCCCCCACGGGTGGGCGGGCCCTGACGTTGCTTGGGAGTAGCAAGCTTTGGCGGCGCAGCTGGGATGCTCTAGATCTCCTTGCTACGGAAGGATGCGAACGCCACCTGCAGGCCGGGGAATAGAGAGCGTCGGGGCTCGGGTATGCTGAGGCTGCCCCCACGCGGTGAAGGGGCTACTCTGGCTTTTCTATTGTTGAGTCGGCCTGGTCTCAAAGCAGCACCTCCTTGGGTTTCCCAGGCGGTATCACTACGGAAGTAGATTGCCCAAACTTCCTTAGAGAGAGCGTTTCCAAAGCACCGGTAAAGGCAAATCCTGAGCAGAGCGCCCCGGACTGTGGCACCCTGCCTAATCCCCTACCTTTGTGCAGTAGACTGGAACGTGTAGATGCCAGAGGGATAGTGCACAGGTGAGGGTGGAGTCGCTTTGGAGGTTTCTCAGTGCTGTTAGATTGCAAGGGACGGAACAAGCAGGCACGTCCTTCTGTTACTATAATCTAAATTACTGTTGTTCTTGTTGTTGTTATGTGCCCTCTAGTAGGACCCGACTCATAGCGGCCCCTCCTTGGGTTTCCCAGGCAGTATCACTACGGAAGTAGATTGCCCAATCTTCCTTCTGAGGAGTGGCTGGTGGGTTTGAACCGCCAGCCTTCTGGTCAGCAGTCAAATGCCCTAGACACTACAGTACTAGGGCTCCGAATCTAAATTACTACTGAGTACATAAATAAACACCGATCGTTATTTGCAGTAAAAGATAAAGATATGAAGGAAATCATTATCTGGATACCAGTGAAACTGAACTAAAGATGTAAATAAAAGACAC